TTGAACTTGAACTTAAACTTAGAACTTGAACTTGAAATTAGAACTTGACTATTTTTTTAAAACAAATTTCAAAAGAGAGCAATGTGATCATTTTGTGTAAAACTTTTACTAGAATGGTCATTTTTAAAATTGTATCAATATTTGAAAAAAAATAGTCTTTCACTATCTTCTATTTTTTTTATAAAAAAAAGGTGCTTAGTTATTATTTTATTAAGGAATTTTTTTTTCTTTTATTGTTATTGTCAAGTAGTGATAAAAAAAATTAATTAGCATTTTGCAAAAAATAATAATCATTTTCATGTCTATATGTTGCAACAAGTTCATTTATTCATTAAATGTTTTTTATCATTAGTAAAAATAAAAAGTAAGTCATTAATTAGTAGTTTTTTTAATAAATAAAGTTTATAAAATACCACCATGTATTCGGTTACGATCCTTGGTATGTGTTATTTATTTATTTTTACAAAAAAGAGGTCTTGTGTGCAGTTATGCTCCTAGGTAAATCATTTTTTTTTAGTGACTAACGCAAATTTACATTTTTATCCAAAAATTACTTTTAGCCAAATATGAGTTAATAAAACGACTGTGCTAGAACCACAGGACTCGCGGGGTGCCTCACACCTTCCCCCGATCAATAGAATTCTTTACCCAATCTTTGTTTCCGTAGACTAAAAAATAAAGAGTCATTTCCTTTAAAATTAGGAATTTACCAGGTGACTTGGAACACCCAAAAAACTCAATTCCAAGTGGCTACTTTTTATTTTCAAAAAAATAAAACCTGTCATATTCCTTAACAATTGCAAATGAGGAGGTGTGACAACGTGTGACAACTATGAAGATTTGTGGCAGTTCCGGGAACAAGTACACAACTACTTGCATTATTATGGCGTCGGGGTCGTCGCTAAATAAGGTGGGGAGCGTGTGCCATCCCGCAAGAGTCTACATTGATTTTTTGCATTTTCAAGGGCAGGGAAGAATCTGATCAAGCTTTAACAATTCTAAAATACTATTACACCTTGGACTTCGAGGAAGGACTAAAAAGGGTAAACAGGCAAGTCCACGAACCCAAACCATGGACCCTTCATTACACCCTATACGGTCTGTTTAGGGGTCTAATTTAACGTTTTAATCACACCTTATACAATTCTAGGTGTCAACGATCGTAAATCAGTATAAAACCCAACAAATGAGTTGGGGTCGAATCCCACAGGGAGCGGTACTTGTTTCAAATTCACTCAAAAAGTGCAAACGTGGTCTAATCATTCATAGGAATAAAAATGATCGAAAAAGACATTAATCAAATTAAAGGGGTGACATGAGTGTCAGATAGGGGGTTTTTTGAGTTTGCAATTATCAACTACACAGCAGTCACGAAAACTTCGAAATAACAATAAGGAGAGGGATTCTCGGGATGTGATCTATTACAGGCAAATTACGATATATGGGTAATTGAAAC